ATCTGACAGTTTATAATATTCATTATGAACATATATAATATACTGGTATGTTGCCTATTATGTATATGTTGTTTTTAAATTAATAAACTTAAGAAGTTGCATTTGAATATAAATTAAATGTACATTAGATTGATTCTTTTGAGCCAATGTTTTAATAGTTGATTCTGGTGATTAGGTTGCTTTTTGAAATCATAATTGTTACCATGACCTTACTGACCAACTCCCAGCCCCCAGCCCCTCCCCAAAAAAGCTCATTGACTATCAACTATGTATTTGGCATTGTGCTAAATACTAGAAAGTTTAAAAAAAAATTAAGTAAAACATGGCCCTGTTCTTGTGGAGGATTTTATACTGAGTGGGATATCCTGGTTATCTGGATGTCTAAATATAATTTTCCAAATGATTTATGTACAAAATTGTATGAGTGCATAGAAGAAGCAGAACAGGCTGTTTGCCCCAAGTAATGAAAGTTTACCAGGTTGGGCAGAGGGAGAGGAACCATCATAAAAGACCTTGTTGTGTTTAAGAAATGACAAAGCAGAGCAGTGCTGATGGGGTAAAAGAAAGCTGAGAAAAGACGTGGCAGTGGGGAGAGATTTTAGGCATGATTTCAAAAGAGAAAAGGGTGTTCATTTTTTCCATTCCTTCCGTGAATAGTTATTGGGCCCCTTCTAGGGTCAGGTGTTGTTCTAGGCTCTAAGCAAGGTCTAGGCTCTAACCACCCATGGTAGATGAAGGCTGTGGCTCCATCGGGCTTACCTGTCAATGTGGGTTCTAGAACAAAAATTAAACAATGCCAAGTGATACAGAGTAATGGGAAGCAAGGCAGGAGCAGGTTCTGGGAAATGCGAAGGTCAAAAGGCCTGTTTGTGATGTGAGTGTGAGTGTCCAGGTATTAAGTAGGAAATTAGGAATTAGAAATATGGATCTGGAGATTAAGTCAAGGTGGAGGCTGCTGATAGCAAACTAGTTGGTCACCAGTTACAAATGCTGTTTAAAGCCATGGGACTGGATGAAATCACCTAGGGAGGTGGTAGGATGGAAGGTATAGAAAAGAGAATGTGGCCCATGTCTGAGAACCCTGGGACACTGCAACATTGAGGGGTCAAAGTGGTGAGTGTGGGGATGGCCAAAATCTCAAGGCGTGTGTACACCAACTTGAGGACTTTATTTTAAAACTCTAGTCCAGAGTATTCGAAACGTTCCCTCCCAATAGAAACGAATACATTTCATCCCCCTTATGTAGTTGCAAACAAATACTCCAAGTATGAATTTTCTTTTAAACCTTTTATATTTAAAATGAGGCAAGTATTATAATCTGGCCCATAACATTTATTTAATATAACATTGTGTTTAACTGAATTATCATCAAAATTAAAATGTTTCCTGTCATGTTTAATTTGAGGTTCAGGTCTCCACAAAAACCTATCACATATCACTGGAGATAACCCTTCCTACTCCAGTTGAAGAAGAAAGTCTAAGAAATGGGGAGCTATTAAGAGGCATTCAGCATCTTTCTTTGCTTATTTGTAATTTAATATTTGCATCCCATAACCATTTTATAGAGTTTGTTAGTGTTTGCTTGGCTATCCTTCCTATATCCCTGAGAATGGAGTTTTCTGGTTTTGATTAAGAACTTCTTTCTCAGAAAGTGAGGACTAATTTGTTACTTCAATTTCGAGCACAACGTAATGTGAATTTTTTATGATGAAACTTCTGTTTACATTCTTAGAGATTCATGAAGAAGCATCTTGAATATTTAAAGATAATACACTAGGAGAACCTCAGATCTATTCTATTTGTGCCCTGTTTCTTAAAGTTACTTCACAAGGATTTTTAAATAGCTATCACTAGAAGAATTGTCAACAACATAATAGATGTTCAGAGAACACCCTCCCAGGATAGCAAAGCAAAAAAACACTAGCTTTTTAAAAATTATATATATATATATAATTGTTGTTCAAAAGATATATCTTTTGAAATGCCTAGTTGATATTACAGTAAATTAAAGGAATTCCCTGGAGGCAAAAACAACAACAACAACAACAAAAACCACCCCCAAAACACATGCAAAAAGCCAACCAAGAAAGTGTCAACACAAAGGAATAAGTGAAAGTTAGAACCATGATTTGTGTAGTGGTCTTCGTCCATTCCTTGTGGTCTAGGGAATTTTAATAGATGCATTTGGTGGAGAAGTGACTCCTGATGCCAAGAGTGAAAGTCATTTTAAAGCCCTTTGCATTCAACAAAGGTAATACCTTCAGATACCAAGAAAAAATACCTGTCCTGTAGAGGGGCATCTTGGAGAAAGCTCTTGACTCAACTTCAACTCTGGGTGGAGATGAATAAAAGGAATGTCCTGAGAATGTCTAACCTCATGTCTTCACTCACCTGGTCTTGGGACTTCACGTCATATTCTTGTGGAGTAGGAAAAAACCAGAAAGATGAGGCCCCCCAAAAAGATGGAAATATTACTTAATTGTCGCAGATCATCAGTGTCTCTGCCTGCCTGGTGGCAGAAGACGAAAATGCTCTTACAAAGAATGTATTTTATATAGAGACCTCTAAGAATTCCCACAGATAAAAGTTCAAAACATGCACTCACAATAAAATTCCCTACATATGTAGGGAAACAAGTGACCATAGACAAAAGTCAACAAAGGAAAAGAATCACAGAACGAGATCTACACAAACTGCCAATATTAGAATTATTAGATGCAGAATATGAAATAAATGCATTATATATGTTTGAAGAACAGATTCTAACTATAGCAATCTGTAATATTTGAACAGTAGATTTTCTAGAGACGAAAAATACAATAACTAAATGTAAAAACTCAGTGTATTTGTTAAATGGCATAGTAGATACAATGAAGAGAGAACTGGTGAACTGCAAGATAAACTTGTTAAATTCCTAATAATACAGCCCTGAGAGACAAAGTGATGGAAGAGACAAAAGAGAGATTAAAAGATACAAAACAGTAGACTGAGAAGATCCAACATAAGTCTAACGGGATTTCCAGAAGGACACAATACAGACATTGAGAAAGACATTATTTGAAAAGGTAATGGCTGAGAATATTCCAAAAGGCCATTAATAGCTGAAGTCAGGAAACCCAGTGATTCCCAATACACTGGAAAATAAAAAATCTAAACCAAAAACCCTACACCTAGACATATAATAACAATAAATAAGTATTCAGTTTTTATGCTTATGTGGAGGGTTGTGACCAAACGGCAGTTAATAGGTTGGCATATAACACTTCATCGATTTTGATTTGAATTCTGTAGACATGTCTCTGGATTATCTAAATTAATTACCAATTCTTGTTATAATCCAGGCATATAAATTGGAGAGATGTGAATTTTATAACCACATCCTAGTTCTTGAACCAACCAGAAATACAATAGTTAAAACTCTCCATGTGAAGGTTAATAGCTATTATCTGTTTTCCCTTGAGGGGAGAGGGAAGGAATATCAGTGCTCAATTTGTTCAGTTTTTGCTGAAAATGTTCAGTGCACTTCCATTAGCATATCATTTGAGAGAAAAGTTGAAGAAAAAAGGAATAATTATTTAGAGACTGATACTCAAATAGACATTAGAAAATAGAATTCTAGGAGATCGTTGTTTGATTTTTAGAGCAGGTGCAATGGTCCCCCTTATCCACGGGGGATATATTCCAAAACCCCCAGTGGACATCTGAAACTGTAGATAGTCAAACCCTATATATACTATGTTTTTTCCCATACATGCATAACCATGATAAAGTTTAATTTATAAATTAGTCACAGTAAGAGATTAACAACCAATAATAAATAGAACAATTATAACAAGATACTATAATAAAAGTTATGTGAATGGGGTTTCTCTTTCAAAATATCTTACTGTACTGTACTCACCCTTCTTCTTGTAATGACATGAAATGATAAAATGCCTACATGATGAGCTCAAGTGACATGAATGACATAGGCTTGGTGATGCAGTGTTAGGTTACGTATTGTCAGAAGGAAGATCATCTGCTTTTGGACCACAACTGGCCACATGCAACTGAAACCACAGAGGGCAACACTGCAGTTAAGGGGGGGACTCCTATATATGTACCAATGAGAGAGTGTCTTTCGAGACTCAAATCAGTATTCATGTTGCTTGGAAGACGTTGTAGTCTTACTGCTGTTTCCAAGGATATCTCCATAGTCATCATTTCGTGAACATTCGAGAAAGTAGGTACTGTATCTACTAAATAAATCACTGTCTGTTAGCATGCCTAATGAAACCAATTAAAGGGAACATTGCCATCATCAAGGGAATTAGAATTTTCCTCAGTTGATAATCCTTAATTACTGAAGATAATATAAAACTTGTTTCTTTCCCAGTTATCTGTTTAAACAGCTAGAAAATCTAAAATCTATGCAGATAGTTATATAATCCTCTTCTCTATGAGTGAATGAGGAGTGGAAAAATACTGTAAGTCGTTTATAAAACCCTTATTGGGGAAAATGTAGAAGTACCTTTGCACTGATTCATTTACCTATTTAAAACTTGATCCAGCTAAACTTGGTGCACTTAACATTGGCTATCCTAGGGCTAGTTTTTCTCCTTCCACTTATACACAGAAAATCTTAGTATTTCTCCAGGTCAGAGTCTTTTTTTTTTTTTTTATAAAGATTTTATTTATTTATTTGACAGAGAGATCACAAGCAGGCAGAGAGGCAGGCAGAGAGAGAGGAGGAAGCAGGCTCCCCGCTGAGCAGAGAGCCCGATGTGGGGCTCGATCCCAGAACTCTGAGATCATGACCTGAGCCGAAGGCAGCGGCTTAACCCACTGAGCCACCCAGGCGCCCCATCCAGGTCAGAGTCTTAACTGCTCAGTGAAATCAGCAAAGAAAGAGAAAAAGGGCTGGTATTTTTAAGTCGGTCTTTATAACTTAATATTTAATTACACTATACTTAATGATTTCTGATTTTGAAGCATGTTTAAGAAGTCTCATTTCTGAAAGCTGCCCCATCCCGGGGTCATGATGGGCAGCAAGATGGCGTCTGCCAGCAGGGTCGTTCAGGTAGTCAAGCCACATACTCCATTAATAAGATTCCCTGACAGAAGAGACAATCCTAAACCTAACGTATCAGAAGTTTTGAGATCAGCAGGACTACCATCTCACTCTTCTTCAATTTCACAACATTCTAAGGGAAGTAAATCACCAGATTTGCTGATGCATCAGGGTCCACCAGACACTGCAGAAATAATAAAAACATTACCTCAGAAATACAGAAGGAAACTTGTATCTCAAGAAGAAATTGAATTTATCCAACGTGGAGGTCCGGAATAATCACTGACAGTGTGGCTGCTATTTATCATCAGACAAAAAAATAGTCTTTACAATAAAGACTGTCCAAAAATCCAAAATGGCACATGAGAAATTATATAGCAAACAACTTGAATACTCTCCAAAAAGAAAAAAAATGAAATATAGAAAATTTAGATGGACAGTTGTATCTTCTAATATATGTATCTTGGTCAGCTTCTGCAAAAGCTTACCTAATTGTTTATATGCTTATTAAAGTATACATTTTTAAATGTTAGCCTATTAATTTACTCTCAATTATCAAGTATTTCCAGTGTTGGAGCTATTAAAAGTACACAGTATCTAGTAAACTATCACAGGTTTTTATCAGAGAGAATTGCTGCTTGGGGAAGTGATTTTCCTGAAATTGGATGAGGATCAATGAAAGAATGACTCCATTATTTGTTCTTAGTTTTCTTAACATTTTTTCATTCACAGAGTTACTGGAGTTTAACTAGTTTAAAAAGCATATCCTACACTAAGTAATAAAAATATAGTCAAGGTAAAACAGGTGACTTTGTGGTATTAAAACTGGGAGTTAAGACAAAAGATTATTTGTAACCAATATTCAGAAGAAAGTGCCAGAGTTTAAAATGGAAAATATGGAATCAAAATAAATATAAACCTAGGAATAGATGTTTGATTAGACATTGCAACTTACTATATTATTAGGGCTGTTAAGAAAGTCTCATTCTTTGATTTCTTTTACTGTTTTGTCATCCTGTGTGCAAATTCTGAAAACCACTAACTTTCTCAAACTTAAATGTCTGAAAGTTTCGTAAAATCAACCTAAATATTTGCCTTATTAAGGCAATTTATGAAACTTTAATAGGGTCTTAGAGTGCCAAGGGCATGTATTATTGTGAAAGTAAAGCCTCACAAAGCTAAAAAAAAAAAAAAAAAAAAAAAGAAGTCTCATTTCTGCTCAGTTGATCTTCGAATGCCAAATGGTGAGTGAAAAATCAAGTGCAGCCTGGTGTGGACTTGCATAAGATGAAGAGTATATTTGCACTGCACTGAACACTTAACTGAATGTCATCGGTTACCAGATGACAGTAAACATGAACTATGACTGCAGCGATGACCCTGAAAACGCATTGTTAGCCATCATTGTCAGAAAGTAGGAGAAAAATACAGCAAGTGTTGAGGAAGGAATGGGGAGTATGTCACAGAGCAAGAGAGAGAAGAGAGATGAGAAAAATATATTTGGAAAATGACAAAAATAATAGAATATTATTTTGCTAATTATTTCACCACCTTTTAAGTCAGTCTACAGAATCCTTGATTACAAAGGACTTCGTCAGCATTATTTTTAATGAATGTTACTGAAAAGCCAAAAAGGAAAGTGTTTATCATGTTTTAATAATAAAAACCCAGTTCCAGAGGAGAGGTATCTTGGAAAGCACTGATTTAGTGCAGATATTTTAAATGGAAACTTGGTCAATCAATCAGGAAAGAAGAAATAAACATTCTTTCCTAAGTGTATAAGGAAGACATAAAAATAATCACATGATCATTTTTGTGCTACTATTTAGGAGTTTAAACTCAGGTTCTCAATTGTGTTTTGCCTTAAGAGGATCCATTGAGGGGCTGGGTGTGTGCCTGACAAATGGGGTCAAATAACTTCAAGGGTCATTATGTCAAATGGCAAGAGTCATGAGTGGGCAGCTCGCACCTCAGAAGCCTAAACTCGGCTGAGAACACTGATAATCCCGCCAGACTTTGGGGACTGTTGATTAGGGAGTTTGTGACATGATCAGATTTACACTATCAAGGCATTTTGGAAGCAGTTTCAAGAAAGGGGATGGAGATTTAAGAACACAGGCAGAGAGGAAGTGAACATAAGAAAGAAAGACAGAATCCGTTTGGAAAGAAGACTGTTCCTCAGAGGTTCAACAGCCTTGGGCAAGCAGAGGCCTGAATGAGTGAACAAGCAGCAGGTGGGAGAAGAGAACTATGAAGGAACCATAGTTGATGACTTTCCATGATGGGAGATGGGATGAGGGAGGGGTCCGTCTGGGGCAACCAAGTTGGGGGTGAGCCATTCCCGCCCCCATGGAATAAGAAACACCTAGCAGCTCTGCGGAGGAAGGTGCCAGAAATAGGGCATATTGAATCGGAGGTGTCTTGAGAGGCACCCAAGTAGATGCCTAGGGGCCAGCTGGATATATGGAGCTGAAATGTCCTGGGCTCCATGTACAAATCTGGGCATTGTCAGCTTATTTGCTTTTTACATGTGGATAAAATTGCCTTGCAAACATGTCCAGGGCTGAAGACTAGAGGCTGGGGATTTGAGATTATCTTATTCTGGCTGCTACACTTTGCAAGAGGCAGTGATAACCTGGAGCAATCTTGTGCTATGGGAGTGTTTGGGAGGACGCGCTACCCCAACACGAGGGTGACCCGTAAAGCCTGGTCTCCCCAACTTCCGGTGCAGAGCTGGGGCCAACCAGGACAAGTGACCTGGAGGGCGCTTTGAGCTTCCTACAAAAGAAGCCCAGTGCGTAGCTGGACTGCCACAAGAAACAGGCCGCCTCACCAAGCAGCAAGTTTCGGGTCCCTCCACCAAATGCGGGACAAGGCAGAGCAGAGTTAGGCTGAGAAGCGGAATTCTGTGGGTTTTCCCACTGCTTTCTACTCTCAGGTTCTGGGATAGCTGGTGTACTCCTAACAGAACAGAATACAGCAAGATTTCAGCCTAACACAAAATAAGTGGACGTCCCTATAACGGAGGGTTTGAGGTTATTTTTTTTTAAAAAAACAGATTTTTACAAACTTTCTGGTTTTCAGTTTTCATTTTCTGTCTATATTTACCTCCATTACCCCATTTCTCTCTGATTTCTCCTCTTTCTTCCTATGGCTCTCCATAAGAGCCTGTCAGTAACAAACTCTGTTTTTGTCACCTAAAAAATATCAAAGAAACCAAATAAGAAAGAGAAGAGCAAGGAGAGGCAGGTCATACAACATGTCTTTGAGCCCTAATGTCTTTTTTTTTTTTCTTTCTTTCTGTTCATATTATCTGAAATTCTCATTTCATCTCCGGTACTGCCTGTCGGGTAGCTCTCTGCACTGCCCCCTCTACCTGTCCTTCCTGTGGGCCCAAGGAAGCTGAGAATGCCCTTCCTCTCTTCCTAACACACACACACACACACACACCCTTCCTTGCATGCTGAGCACAGCCTGAAATCCCAGAAGTAGGCACTTCATTAAGGGAATCCTCCTGCTAAAACACACGCCATCTTGGATGACACATCATTCCAAATTATTACTGGCCTTCTATGCTTTGTGTGAATGAATGTTACATCTGTTTAAGAACTGTGTTGTTTTTGTTGTTGTTGTTGTTTTATGTGGGAGATAATCCAAGGATGTTGAAGTTTAAGGAGGTGGAAGGGGAAGATCCCAGGGTTACAGGCTTGGAACCTCTCTGCCCCTTTACTGCTGGTCTTCAAATGCCACCGCTGCATGTCTCCTAGGACTTGTACCTCTGGTAAGAAGATAGGTTACCAACATTTTTCCAACTTACTTTGAGTGTATCCTGTCTAGTTTCTTCTTCCTCTCCTTAATTGTCACCATGGTGATTCGCTTCAGTCAGAGATATATTATTTATATTTATTGAACAAGTCCTCCATCTGATTATTTTATGCTCATATTAATGTCTCTTTCATGGTTTCCCTAGTGATCTGAAAATTTGGTTCTGTCCCAAATCTTAGGCATTCTATCCATTTTCATTACTATGCTTATTAACCAACCTTAATTTAAAAAAAAAAAAAATTCTGAATGGTCATTACTAAAAATGGTCTACCCTTTAAGAGAAGCCTGGGAATTCTGTTCTTCTAGGAGACATTTTCCATGGGGAACCACCTGTGAGAAGCAGGGCCCTGGAGGGCAAGTCTGGCAGTGAGTGGGATCTTATCCACATACTGGGGTCATCAAGACCTGAGACAAAGATTGGTAGCCAGCTTGTGATAATTACTCCAGACGAGCATGCCTGGTCCATGAGTGAGTACCAGGCTGTGTGCTTATTTTCCTGCTGAGCTCATCTGAAGATTGATACTGAGTAATTATGCCATGTTTAATCCTGAACTCCCAGCATCTAGTGCTTAGAGAACTTACTGATATTCAGCAGTGTAGAAACATGGGGCTGCCCCATTACTTGGTGTGGCTAACAGATATACAGATACATTTAAATTGTGGCCATAAAGAAATAGCACTTACCCTAGGGATTTGTCATCTGGGCCTCTTCCCTGAGCCCGGCCAGCTCATCTTGTGTTTCTGGAACTGAAGGTCCGAGTACCTTGGGATGGTGGTAGGCAAACCTGTCTTTTTCTCTCTCAGGGAACTGTTTCTGCCTCCTGACCACTCTTGACCATTCTAGGAATATTCGTTTCCTTCTGTCCAGAGTAGCTCTTTTCGATCCCCGCAACAACCCCGTGTACAACTGAAGCTTAGGAAAGTTAAATGCTTTACCTAAGGGTCTCAAAACTGGAGAATTGTGACGCAGACTCGGGGACCTTTGTCTCCATCATCCATGCACTCCCTTGCCCCGAACAATAACATAAAATAAATGCCTGTTCTCTTCACTATGCTGAGAGAATACTAGGGAAAAAATTAGAGAGACTTGACATCTTGTTCATTCAGAGATTTTTAAAAGAAAAGGATGCTATTATGCTCTCAGACCTAATAAGCTAAAACCACTATTTAAAAACTAATACCAAAAATACTATTGAAAGAAGGTTCAAATGTAAAGTACTAGGAGAGTTAAAGGAAAAAAATGTCATTTAGGAAAGGTTTGGCTCAAGGGATTTGAATTGACCTTGGGGTTTGGGGGCTGGCTACAATGACTGAGGAGGAGCCCAGATGGCGTGGTCCTCTGGGGACCCTGAGAAATCATGGCATCTGGAGAAGGAGGGAGCAGTCAACTGGGAAATCTTCTCACAACATAGCTTGAACTTACACCAACGACTTTCTAGGATTTCTCTGTAGCAAATTCATTCACTTTAGATGGCATTATTTCTCTCTCAAGAAAATTTTCCCATCAGACATTCATCAGTGACGCTGATGAGTGGGCAAGTCCTTGAGCCCTAATCTCAGTGTTTCCTCCAC